CGCGTATTCAGGCACTGTAACCATGTTGCTACATGCACCAACAGCATAAAATTCGATGCAGCGCTTTCTCATACAGCTTTTACTTCTAGAAACTTCCGCGCAAATAATAGTTCGCGTTTAAATGAGGATGGCGTTTTCGCGGAGACAAACTTTCGCGAAACATAGTGACCGCGAATATTTAGTCGCTGGGGAGAAGAGCATAAATATTACTAATATCACATAGTTTTCTGTATTCAGAAAAATGAAAATGCATTTATTTGCATTTAAAATCATAATGTCGAGTTTAAATTTGTGTAATTTATAATTGATCTTACTATCCAAAAGAAATTCTTTGTTTGAATTAAATAAATTCTAACCGTTAAAAATAAACAGTAAATGTTTATATCCATATCGAAATGTTTTGCTTTTGTACATTTTAAGCAAATAAAACTACCGTCATTTTAGTATGCAATAACAACGTAATAAAAAACATTTATAATATGATTTTATTTAATCTGTATAGCAGCAAGACAATTTAGCAAAAGGAAATTTTACCTTGAAATAAGTATCAGTTAAGCCTAAGGGAAAGTTATGCATACTACATCATAGCACTTCATAATTACTTAATGATAATCTAAGTGGTTGAAGCGACAAATGTTCGCGGATTTGTTACAATCATGAAACTTTTTTCGTTGACACAAACAATCGCGGAAAAGAATCCTTCGCGAAAAGCGCTAACTTAAAAAAGGAAATAATTTCTAGGAATACAGTATGGGTATTGGGTTGAGCCAAAAATCACATTGAATGAGACCAGTGATGTGTAAGGGGATAAGACATATTTTCAATACTTTTGTCGCAAAGAATTTCAAGAGCCATGGCTAATAAATGAACAAGTGCGTTGTCATAGATGAACGTGGGACTTTACATAGTACTAAACAACTGCCGAGAGAACCAAATCTCCGGACACTCGTGCCCCCTTAGAACAGAAACCATAATATACATGTATACAATTTACTGGCAATCTGTAAATTATGCGTACATGATGCCAACGAGGCAGGTTACTCACCGAGTGCGAATCCTTTGTGGCAATTAAATGTGTGTTTTTTAATATTTTTTGTATTATTGAAAGTAACACGTGCCTTAAGGGTAAAAATTGAGTTGTATAGGCTCATAATTCAGGACACAGTGATTTGTTTCTTTACTGTGAATGTAGCGAGAGTCTGACTTTAAAAGAAGCATTACCCTGCATGCTTATCAGACTTACCTGTTCTCAGTTTGGGTTTTATCTCGCACCAACACAATATAGGTCATAATGTCGACATTCAAGCTTTACTTGTAGAGCAAGACACCAAAGATGTCCAATCTTTGTGTTATTTCTGTCACATTTGCCACCTGAGCAGAGCCACCGACGTTCCAGCTACTTGGTTAGTTTTTTTACACATAAAAAAATCTAAAACCCGTGCGCAGCTCGAACTAACAGCGGTAAGAAGCAAGTGGTTTGAAGTCAACGACCTTAACTACTTGGCCACAGACGCCCCTTGATAGTCAACAAAATATTTCAAGTTTGAAATGAATACCTTCGTTTTTTGAGAAAAAGGCAAATATTCCATGACGAACAAAAGAAATAAAGAAATAAGATTTTCAGGATTATCTTCTCCTTACAATAGCACTTCAAATTTGATATGAACAAGTACTTCAAGTTTAAAATTAATAACTTTTATACTTCCTGTATTTTAAAAATAAAGTCAACCAAGAAATTTAAATTAAAAAGGGGGAAGACATAACTCAGAAGAAAAAGTTTCCCTCCCTTTAGAAACTGAAAAAAAAATATCTAAAGTTTGACGTGATTTAACTTTGACAAATACTCTGCTAAATTGAATTTTAGAATTATCTGACCTACGAAAATGGTGTCACATTTAATGTGATTTACTTTGTTAGTCAGGGCTCTAGCAACTGAGCGATATGAGCGACTAAGTCGCCAAAAGTTTCTGAACTTCGCAGAGTTTGAACAAGCAGTATTTTAACATGTGTTTCAACATATTTTGGGTAAATATTGTGTAAAATACTCAAATTACAATTTGTAATTACAAGTACTTACTTAATATACGTGTAGTTTGATAAAAAAATTACCTTCAGTCTATAGATTATAAAATTTCCTGTAGAACCCTCTACTATTGTTAAGCCAAGTTTAAAATATGATAATTATGAGTGTGGCACATGATAATTATATAATTTACATAAACAAATGAATAGATATTATTACATTTGCGATGTTATAATATATAAGCGTTGCCATACACTAATTTATGATGACTCTGTACATAGTAATTGTCAATATAAAAATCTGGAAACAAAGTGATCCCTCGGAAGCATTAATCACAACAAAATAACAATCGGTTTGATTGAGTCTGTACATGAGGGATAATGAATACGTGCAACATCCCTCACGTCCCCAAGTACCGGCTTGAGCGGTACCCAATGCTCAACACTTAATAGTGCTGGCATCAATGATCCCGAAGGACAGGAAAAATATAACAACACTGAAGTGAAGTTCGGGGCAACTTTTTACAGCTGTCACACAGCACTTGACACATGCTGTTGTGAAGTATAAAAATCAGAAACAAAGTGATTCCTCGTAAGCATTAATCACAACAAAAGTACAAGAGAATTGCAGACTCGGTTTGATTGAGTCTGTACATGAGGGATAATGAATACGTGCAACATCCCTCACGTCCCCTAGCACCGACTTGAGCGGTACTCAATTCTCAACACTTAATAGTGCTGGCATCAATGATCCCGAAGGTCCAGAAAAATATAACAACACTGAAGTACGGGGCAACTTTTTACCCTTGCCACACAGCACTTGACACCTGTTGTTGTGAAGTATAAAAATCTAGAAACAAAGTGATCCTTCGGAATAAGGTGACTTAAAGGTCCATTGGGCCGGGTGTAAATTTTGTTAATCTTAATTCACATGCATCATATCATTGATTTTAAACGTCACTACAATTTTTTTTATCTTAACTTATCTTATAGAGACATGAAGGAAATGTAACTTATGCGTAAAAAATCATATGGAAGATGAATACCATTTTGTTATTATGTTCTGTGTATAGATGATTACGAATATAGTATGTTTCTAAATATTATTATACGCGCCCAAATATGGCAAAATTTATAGAACTTTTAAAATGTGGTAGCTCTGTAAAATCAAATAAATTTGAAGTTTTTTGTATTAAAGCATAAGCAAAGGCAGTGTAACCTGTAAGTAAGCTCTTTGTATTAGTACATGTACGTTTTATGTGCAAATTAAGGAAAAAATTTTGTGTATTTATTTAAAACGATTATTGCACTTCAGCAATATAATTCATACTTTTTAAAAACAAGTTGGCAAAGGTTTATTCAATTTATTTGTCACTAATTATGATATGTATCAGAATTTTTTTTATTTATTTAGTATTGCTTATTACTAATTTTATGAATACATGTATATTACTGTATGAAAGCCAAGTATACACCAGTTTTATAATTTACAATTTACCACTCAATCATTCTATGCTATAATTATGTCTATGTCGTCCGCTTTTTCCCTCTATATCTATATTGTCGGCGTTTTTCTTGTATGTTGATATTGTCCGCTTAATGTGTTCGCGTTTTAGACTGTGCCGTTTGAATATCAAAGAAAAATCGACTTCGCCAAGCTTCGCTTCTTGATTTAAGTATATTTACTAGGCCTTATACCTAATTATTCATGCAATATAATACTTGTTCAATAAAAAAAACTAAAAAAAATCTGCATTTTAGTTACATTTCAAGGATTAAGTTTCCTGCCAAGATTATGTCAGACCTTTCATAATCTTGCTGGAGAACATAAAATTTACAATCCCTAGATTATTATTTTTTTTAAAGCAGCATGCCTACAGATTCATGCTAATTTTCATAAATTATAAAAATGTATTTTAAAGTAAAATAATGTGAACAAAAAAAGTAATTTACCCATTGCATTTAGAATTCTACAATCCATATAAATTATCAAAAATTGGGTAAAATATGCAAAACTAGCCCTTATTAGTCATTCATCAGTTGCAAATAACACTTTTAAGTGTTGAAAATCGAGTTCCGCTCAAGTCGGTGCTAGGGGGCGTGTAGGCTGCATGGATGCAAGTTAAAAATATCAGAAACCCTTGCATTCAGTATTATTTCAAAGGGTTTCATTGAAAAAAGTGAGCTTTCAGGAGTAGAAAAAAACTTAACTTTTGGCAAATGCCTGAAAACTTGTACACATGGGGATGTTGCGCTTTTTCACAATCCCTCATGTACAACCTCAATAAAACTGAGTCTGCAATTTTTATGTATTTTTGTTGTGATTAATGCTTCTGATATATGACAATTTATTCAGATTATTAATACATGAATCCGGAATCTTTATGATTTTTTTCTGAAAAACTTAATACATTTTTCTCCATATTGATTTTCTTGAAATATTTTGGCTCACCAGAAGGCCAGCAAATATAAACACAAAATGATAAATGTGTAAGTTAGTCATAACCAAAAACCTTAACAACGGAACTAAAGCGTTTTCTCGTGATATTTAATCGATGACTATACAGACCAATGATATTCACCAATTTAGGGTCAATTTGATATTATACTGGTTATCTTTATTGTGATATTCCAAGAATATATATGTTCCAGGTCATAAATTATCTTATTGAAATGGGTAAACAATATAATGTATCACTTTATGACAGAATATGGTCTCTTTAACTAAAATGCTTTTTTCCAATGTCCTTTGTATTACCATATTTGAACTGCTATTTTTTCCCCCCAATGATTAAGTCATAGTGACGTGTTTTAACCCCCCCCCCCTCAATTTTTAAATAATTTCTTTTATAATGCATGTGCAACCAATGGGTATCTAATTGCATGTTATATTGTACTTATATTGTTGTGTACTTTGGGCTGGAAGGCTTTATTTACTTAAACCATGCGAGTTATTGATAAAAAATAACAAAAATACATTTTAGACCTTGAAGTAATTTTTATTTTACAATGACTTCATTTTTTACAAAAATATCATAGTGGGTAACACGTTTAAAAGCACTTCACTGGAAGTAATAAATATCTTCAATTTGTACATTAAACATCCTTGTTAAAAAAAAATAATACAATTCAGATAATAGCACTTTGGCCTTAATTCTAACTGCCAATGAACAAAATGTGACATGTTTCAATCATTATTTTCTCACTGTGTACCAATTATAGAATTGAAGAAGCACCAAACGGATTTAAATCTCTTCAACAATGTGTCTTCTACGTACCAATAATGACAATAATTACTGAAATGCTTATAGAGTTAATTTCTGAACATACAAAAAGAAATAAAAGCATACATATAATTATGTCCAAGACAAAAGATAAATAACACAATTGTCCTATCAAAATAAATTTTACATGCCTATTATGACTTACATAAGGGCATTGCGAAAAACTATTCAGCTGAAAAACCTGAATAGGCTGAGTATGAATTAAACTTCTGTACCTGGAGAGCAAAGTTATTTGTACAGGTCGAACTGATGTCATTTTTCTTTCCATTTCTCAGGTTACTGCCATTTATATACATAAAGTAACATAAAATCCAGGCAGTTATCACTTTGAACCAGTTCTCTCTTTTTTTATATGACTACATTGTGAGAATAAAATTTGAACCAAGTGAAAATTTACCAACCAAAGCCTGAATCCAATTCAGCTTTAATTGGCATTGATTTTATGAAGTAAACATGTCCGTCTATTATCAGTTGATCTTTATAAAAATCCATACATCTCTTAACCAACTGCATGTTTATTTACTTCTTGTATCCATTGTTTGAACACTGAAAGACTGTGAGTAGCAGCTATTGTAAACAAACGCTACTGTTTCCTCAAGATAAAGTCCATTTCTTTATTCTCAGATTTTCCCCCATCACAAATCATGATAAAATCAATGTAATAGTTTCCCTTGTTGAGTGTCAGGTCACACCTAGTTTCACAGTTTCAACTTTTTGGTACATCCAGTTTCAAATCTTTAATGCACAAGGTATTTAACAATTTTTCATTTGTAGCAGCCATTCAAGGTTTTGTGATCCATTTTCATTTTATCTTAATACTTCATTGAAACACATTACCCACATATTTTCATACAAAACAAAGTTACCATAAAATATGAAATGAAAAGAAAATAAAGAAAACAATGCATAACCTCTATTTGGTTTTAAATCAGTTTCAATTTATGAAGACCCAATCATTTTTTCTCATAAAAGAAGAAAAATATCCCTTTAAAGATGATTATCAACCACGAAAATGTGATAAATATTCCTTTACACCCTCAAATTATGACTAACCCTTGAGCCTACTAATTTTATTAAATGGATCTATCCTGTTTTTAACTTCTTGGAAAAGTCCATTAGAAGTTAAAGGGATTTCAATATAAAAATACCAAAATTTTGGCTACCAGCAGTAAAGAGCCTGGTCAGACTGCATGGATGTGCAACCTGGCCTCGCTCTATACTGGTGGCAAGGACTAATCACCTCCAGTTTCTAGCAGGATACTGGTTTAATACAAGATGGTAAAATATATTGAAATTATATTCCATTTTCATAATCAAATTATTTCATTCATGAAGAATTAATTCCCATTCCCTTTAATAAAGAAAATATGTACAAATGAGATTATTCACTTTAGTAAAACCTTTTAAGAAAGAATAGATAGCTTACATGGTTGAAAATTAATCTTAAATGCAAAATAGAAACTTAAAAATGATCTTAAATTTTTGCATTTTCCATGTATGATTATCTAAATAAAAAAATTGAAAATCCTGAATTCATAAATGATTCTTAAAACTTCTCATCCATATTAACAGAATGCCAACAATAAGATTAATATGAAAAATACATTATTGGACGAAAGATATTTAAAACAAAACAAACAAAATTTTTGTACAGAATGCAGCCCCCACCCCAATATCTAATATAATAACATAAGAAGAAAAAAACTTGATGATGGGGCCAAACAGTTGTCATAGCAACAAGGGGCTAGTGCCTTGTGTAAAGAGATGAAACTAGCTGTACCAAATAACCTTGTTACTGTGAAACTAAATATGACAAACCACTCAAGCAGCCTGCAATACATTCTCCTACAAACTCCCGACTGTACCTCCATACATCTCCTCAAGGTCAAAGGTCGTTGCCATAGATTCAAAATTGTAACAACATCTCCAGTAAGACTGTCAATAACTCTACTCCTCTGCGAAGAAAAGATTTTTGTTGATATTCCATTCTCATCCTTCATAGTTTCCCATCCATTTTCTAATGATGAACAATCTCTTTTGTGTGCATTATTTACTGGAGAACTTCTCATTACCATAAATAGTTCAGTGGAATATTCTATTTGACAACATAATTTCTTGTCTCTTGACCCTGTACAAAATTGACCTTGACCCAAAGATTTCAAAGTAACAGCCCATATCTCATATTGCAGGCTGGGCCCAAAAGCGAGTGGTTTTAAAGGCGCCTCTGGGACGCCTTAATCTTCGAGGAAGAAATAATTGCCCCCCTTTTTCTGCTCTGTATCCTGTAATGTAAAGAAATAATTTGTTTTGTGCACGTTAACAGATAAAGAAATCTGGATTAATTTCTCTCAAAATTAACACAGAATACATTATTCATGTTATTAGAATTTGATAATGAAAAGCTCAAATAATTTTTATCAAACACTAATATACAATGAATGCCATAATAAATATAACCAAGAGTAACATCCTACTTTTGATTTAGAACAGTATATTGAATGTTTGTTTAATTGGGTTTTATGTCACAACAACACATTAAAGGTCATATGGCGACATTCCAGCTTTACTGGTGGAGAAAAACCTCAGGTGCCCTTCCGTGCATTATTTCAGGCACAATTGGGCTGCTGAGTAGAACCACCAACGTTCCGTAAGCTAGCTTGATAGTTTCCTCACATGAAAGAATCCAGTCGCTGTGGGGATTCAAACCCACAACGGTGACGGGCAAGTGGTTTGAAGTCAACGACTTTAACCACTTGGCCATGGACGCCCCCGAGTATATTGTAAAGAGGGTTTTGTACATCATTAGATATGTGTTCATAGGACACAGATGTCCTCACATTCTACTGACAGTGCAACAAACAGACAAAGGCAACTTATACCCCCTCTGCCTTAGTTATTGGGCATATAAAATGTGAAAACTATAGCATTAAATGTTCCCTTATTGAATTTAAAGTCACAACAGTGGAAAGGTCAATTGTCAACTTTCAAGCTTTAATGGTAGAGGAATTTCTCAGGTGCTTTGAGCATTATTTCAGGCATAATCATGCACCCCGACGGCGAGTACTGCCACTTGCTCGTAACTGCTGGTGTAGGCAAATCATATTAGCAGCTTGACCTCCAAAATTTAAAGAAACTAGAAATGTGTCATCATGCCACGGATGCCCCCGCATGCAGCCAAAATTTCAAATGTTATAATATTTAGTTCCAAATTTGTTTGCACAAATTATTTTTTTCATTCTAAGTTCAAAGCCCTTAAAACTTTTCAATGTTAACACAAACCATTTTTATACAATGTTCAAGGCACTGAAATTATTCAGTCTTAACCATTTTTATACAATGTTCAAGGCACTGAAATTATTCAGTCTTAACCTTTTAAAAATAGCATATTGCATATTTGTAGCCAACATAATGGCTATATACATTTCCACAAAAGTATGAGTGCTGAAACTGAAAGTTCAAAATTTTCCCAACATTCAGGAAAGATAAGTTTGTCTAAAATCATTGAACCACGACCAAATTCAAACTTAAACTGCTTATTCCTAAGATGTATCTATATTATTTTCAAAGTGAAAGGGACATAACTCTGCCAAAAATCATCGAACCATGACCAAATTCCAACTTGACCTGCGCATTCCTTTGACATATCCATATGTCAATTTTGAGTTGAATATGTAACACTGTTGGGTTGATAATGAACAGAAACTGTAAATTTCATATCATTTTCAAAGTGAAAGGGGCATTACTCTGCCAAAAATCATTGAACCATGACCAGATTCGAACTTGGTCTGCGCATTCCAAAAACATATCCATATGTCAAATTTGAGTTGAATGTGTAATATTGTTGGGGAGATAATAAACGGAAACTGAAAATTTCATATTATTTTTAAAGTGAAAGGGGCATAACTCTGCCAAAAATCATCGAACCATGACCAAATTTGAATTTGACCTGCGCATTCCTTTGACGTATCAATATGTCAAATTTGAGTTGAATGTTTAATACTGTTGGGGAGATAATAAACAGAAACTGAAAACTTCATATTATTTTCAAAGTAAAAGGGGCATAACTCTGCCAAAAATCATCGAACCATAACCAAATTTGAACTTGGCCTGCGCATTCCTTTGACGTATCGATATGTCAAGTTTGAGTTGGATGTGTTGTAGCGTTGGGGAGATAATGAACGGAAACTGAAAATTTCATATTATTTTCAAAGTAAAAGGGGCATAACTCGGCCAAAAATCATCGAACCATGACCAATTTCGAACTTGACCTGTATTTTCTCATGACATATCCATATGTCAAATTTGAGTTCAATATGTGCAAGGGTTATTAAGATAATGAACGGAAACTGATGATGACGGAAGGACGGAATGACGGAATGACGGAACAGGGTAACACTATATGCCCCTGCCATTATATGGCGGGGGCATAATAATTTTTCATGCACATCTAGAGATATTTGGTTGAGAAATCGAGTGAACATAAAGAATACCTTGACAGAGTTGAGCTTGTTGATACGGGGGCGGAAGTTGTTTGGATCACGTCTGAAGGTGATTTCCAGCAACTCCAGGAACTTGTTCATCCCATGTAGCAATGTCTGTGGCCTGAAACAAGCAAAGAATATGTAAAATAATTTAATTATGCAGCCAAAAGGAGAAAATACTATTATGAAACACAACTAAAATTCTTTTTACGTTTTTGTCATAATCAAAACTCAAACATGGACCTCAAGAGCCAAACAAACATAATTTCAACCTAAAATAAGAACATATGCATGAAAATACTTTAGTATTTAGCAATGATATCCATGTGTTAAGATTTAAAGAAAGTTCAACACAATCTGTATATTGCTCTATTTTTTTTCCCATTTATCCAGGGATCACTGGTTTAATCCTTGTGCAAGGTAAAATGTCACCAGGACAAGTGATCTTGGCTAACGAGTTCAATGGTCATTTTTCTCTAACAGCTGATCCAGAAATCATAGTTTGGATTCATAGTCAGTCACTTGTTAAGAAATTGATAACTTACAAATGCTGATTAGATAGATCAACCGCTGAGATATTACTAAAAATATGTTAAAAGAATATTTAAGATCACATGATCACAATACTTTAGGGAATATTAAAGGTATTGTCAAAACATTGCACTAACCAAAACCAATGGTTCTAGTGTTGTATGTACCTTATAAACAAGAAGAAAAGAAACTGATTTCAAATACAACTTACGAGTTTGCCTTGGTGTTGATACCTGGAGATCCTTCAAATACCACCACACGATCAGCAAGGTATGTTGCCATGATGAAATCGTGCTCCACAACAAACGCTGTCTTCTTAGCATGCAGAATAAATCTAAAATATTCAACACTCTGATTATGTATAACATATTTAACATTAAATGATACAATCTACTCATAACTTAAATGCATTCTGTGAATAAAATTACCTTCTCTGGTGACCTGTTTTTTTTTATATCCCATACATGTTTTAAACTAAAATTCTTAACCCATACTTCTTTAAAGGAGGAAAAGTAAAGATTAACTACAAATTTTTTACACGTTTACTGTTCGTTCGATATCGATGTCTTAAATTTTCTCTCTTTGAACTATAAATTCTCTAATTTTGACAACAATGACAATGTTTTTATATGAAAAGAAAATATAAGTTAAAGCATTTACAACATTATTAATGAAACGTGTAATTCAACAAAGTGCTGACCTCTTGATGACCTTGGCTGCATGAAGACGCTGTTCCGAGTCCAGGTAGGCTGATGGTTCGTCTATCAGGTATACATCAGCTGGTTTACCAAGACACAATGTCAGGGCTACACGCTGCAATTCTCCTCCAGACAGATTTTGTACCTGGCAAGTTTAAAAAAATATATACAACTAGAAATGTGTCATCATGCCACGGATGCCCCCGCATGCAGCCAAAATTTCAGATGGTGCATTAATTATTTTTTTCATTTTAAGTTTAAAGCCCTTAAAACTTTTCAATGTTAACACAAACCATTTTCATAAAATGTTCAAGGCATTGAAACTATTCAGTCTAAACCTTTTAAAAATAGCATATTGCATATTTGTAGCCAAAATAATGGCTAAAAGTAAGAGTGCTGAAACTGAAAGTTCAAAATTTTTCCAACATTCAGGAAAGATAAGTTTGTCTTAAATCATTGAACTACAACCAAATTCAAACTTAAACTGCTTATTCCTAAGATGTATCTATATTATTTTCAAAGTGAAAGGGACATAACTCTGCCAAAAAATCATCAAACCATGACCATATTCCAACTTGACCTGCCTATTCCTTTGACATATCCATATGTCAAATTTAAGTTGAATATGTAACACTGTTGGGTAGGTAATGAACAGAAACTGTAAATTTCATATTATTTTCAAAGTGAAAGGGGCATTACTCTGCCAAAAACCATTGAACCATGACCAAACTCAATCTTGGCCTGGGCATTCCAAAAACATATCCATATGTCAAATTTGAGTTGAATGTGTTGTACCATTGGGGAGATAATGAACGGAAAACTGAAAATTTCATATTATTTTCAAAGTAAAAGGGGCATAACTCTGCCAAAAATCATCGAACCATGACCAAATTCGAACTTGACCTGTATTTTCTCATGACATATCCATATGTCAAGTTTGAGTTGAATGTGTTGTACCTTTGGGGAGATAATGAACGGAAACTGAAAATTTCATATTATTTTCAAAGTAAAAGGGGCATAACTCTGCCAAAAATCATCGAACCATGACCAAATTCGAACTTGACCTGTATTTTCTCATGACATATCCATATGTCAAGTTTGAGTTGAATGTGTTGTACGGTTGGGGAGATAATGAACGGAAACTGAAAATTTTATATTATTTTCAAAGTAAAAGGGGCATAACTCTGCCAAAAATCATAGAACCATGACCAAATTCGAACTTGACCTGTATTTTCTCATGACATATCCATATGTCAAGTTTGAGTTGAATGTGTTGTACCGTTGGGGAGATAATGAATGGAAACTGAAATTTCATATTATTTTCAAAGTAAAAGGGGCATAACTCTGCCAAAAATCATCGAACCATGACCAAATTCGAACTTGACCTGTATTTTCTCATCACATATCCATATGTCAAATTTGAGTTGAATGTGTGCAACCGTTCTTAAGATAATGAACGGAAACTGATGATGACGGAATGACAGAATGACGGAAGGACGGAAGGACGGAAGGATGGAAGGACGGAAGGACGGAAGGACGGAAGGACGGAATGACGGAACAGGGTAACACTATATGCCCCGGCCATTACATGGCGGGGGCATAAAAATTCAATACAGTAACAAAGGTATTTACCTGTCATCACATACTGCAAAATCAAGCGTCTTTCATCACTAAATTTTATAAAAGAGGTTCAATATACTAGTTAACTTTAATCTATATAAAGCATTTATACATTCTTAACATTATCAATAAGCAGGAAAATACCTATTCCAAAGCAGGCTGTGATTCAAAGTCCCAACAAATGCTACAGGAAGCAAATTTACCTTACATAGCTACCTTTTTTGTGGTACTCGAACATCAACCCTGCAGTTTTTTTGTTGATTTTATTTCAGCCTCAGAAAAAAGGTTTATCCACACAAGCTTTCAGAATGTGAACAGCATAGTGTTTATCATCATTGGCTGTTGGTTACTTCAGCTTTTTTCACAATTCAAGGGAAGAAACTCAAGCCTAACTTTACATGAAAACTTAGGATACAAGGTCAATCAGGCATACAAAACTAATTGTAGATGTGACATCTTTGCAATTATAGCTTAACTGGTATCTAATAAATTTCTAAAAACATTTCTTTAATGATCTTGAAGACCACAGTAAAAGGAAATTGCATATAAAAACCTAACTAAATGTTTATGTGTGTGAGGGAAACTAAACTGGGAAACTTGGATAATTGAACTTGAGGAATTTTTCTTAAATTAAAATTCAAGCATGGCCTCAGAAATAGTTATAATCCACACAGACTTCAGAATGTAAACAGCAGATTTTGTATGTTTCCTCATTGGCCATTTCTTTTTTTTTTCAAGTTCTTCAGCCTTACTTATAATTCTGGCCAGGATGTTTAAGTTGCTCAAGATACATTTTTTGAGGCTCTGGGAGAACATGAAAAATTTATTGGCTCTGGGGAAACATCAAAAATTTATTCACCTTACATTTTCTTTAAATGAACAAATTGAATTTGTCTACAAAATTAATCAAAGCATATTAATATCAAATAAGAGCCTCAGCATAGAGTTTTATCCACAAAGTTCACTTTCAGAATGTAAACAGCAGATTTCATTGTATTTCCTCACTGGCTGTCCATAAATTTCATTACTAAATCATACATTTTTTTAATAACATTAACAGGTCAGTCCCGATATATACAATATATTCTGCCACATATGTGATCAGGTCAGTAAAAGTTCAACGTCCAATCAAGATTTTGAAATAAGAATTCATTTCCATAAACAGTCCACAATTATTGTTTTTTTTGCTAACATTCTAATATCTTAAAATGAAAAAAGTTCAGAGCCTCAGTTTAGGGATCTTTCCACAACATACATTTCAGAATGTAAACAGCAGATTCAGGTTATTTCCTCATAGGCTCGAGAACAAATTTTCAATGTAGATGAAACCCGAGGTAACATGTCTATGTGCTAAATATACAGATCACTGCTCTAACCTTACATTTGAATAACAATTACAGATTTAACCAGAAACACCAAGATAAAACATATGTTGTGGTGATATTTTCAATGTTATTAACTTGTATCATAAATCAAATTCAGACTGATTAGAATCAGGTCATGTAGCGATTCTATGCAATTCAGTTACATGCAGGCACCAGAGTAAAACCAGCAACCCTCTGTTCAATATAGCTTCATCACCTAAAGCAAATACCTCGATAGGATTCAAAACCCACAACTAGAAAAATTCAACTAATCATTCTGTAGTGAACAACCATAAACCACTCTGACATACTTACAGAGTCACCAATGTTTTACTTTTATTTCACCTTCATCCATGATACATGAAATCTTTTAAAACGTCAAGTCAAATTCATAGAAATATAGATTATAGTTCAATCCATGTTAACCTAAAACATAAGCTCATTTTTGCTTTAAATACTGTCATATTGATAGTTTAAAGTGTAGATTAATTTCAGAACAGAGCCTCAGTTAAGAGATTTATCCACATATAACACTTCAGAATGTAAACAGCAGATTTGGGTTTTTATCCTCATAGGCTCTGCTCTATGAAAGAAAGAAATTCCAAATTCTCCTAAATCACCCGGTCAAACCTTAAATCATGGAATTACAATAAGAGATGTTGTAGAATCTATTTTTCAGTCTCAAAAAAATGTATCAAAATCCCAATCACTAGGAGAGGTTCATTGAAGGTGACAAAATATCCAAGATATCTCTCAATAAATCAAGGTGCTTTGACAAATGGTGAGACAAAATGGTGATTTACAAATCTTAAACTATGTGCTCAACCACATACTAAAATTAAAGAGCATTAAAGGACCGAAAATAGATTATTAAGGAAAATCATACTTGCTACAAAAATGCAATTGGACACTTTGTCATTGTTAATGAGAGCATAGAAATAACCAAAGTATAAATCAATGCAAACATAAAGTCTCAGACATAAAAATATATCCACACAATTATTCAGAATGTGAACAGCATTAGTTTCTCTTCATAGACTTTATAATAAGCACTCTAAATGTTTTCATTAATCTGTGTCAAAATGTTTCAGCTTTTCCCAAAGAAATTAACTTCTACATATCATCAATGTGGTTTACACAGTAGCCCAAATTCCATGGCCTTTTCCAGCTAATTTGGGAAAAGGTCCCAGACATAAATTAGGAAATATCTTTAAACACTTGTGAATTTTTTAATGTTAAAATCTACCATGTACAAGACTTGAAATATTTTTGGGATTTTTTAACATGTGTACAATGATCGAGCATAAAAATTGTCACTCCTTTTAGGAATAAAAGTCAACAGTTCAAACTTTCTCAGAAGATGAAACAGCTTAATTTTTTGTGCTGCTGTTGAGAATTTTATTTTTTGAAATTAAGTAAATAGGTTATTTTGGATTGGGAATGGGGCGTTATTTCAACCCTTTGTAATGGGGTGAAAATGCAGTGAATTCTCACAAAATGACATTCGTTAGACGTCTGTTTAAATCATATTCCATTTATTTCTTAATACTTTGTTGCATGAAAACTGGCAAAACAAAGACAAGCCATATTCTCAAACGCTATACTAATAATCAGAATACAAGATAAATTTACCTCTTGGTCCATGATGTTCTCTATGAGAAGTGGTTTCATCACATCAGCAACAAACTGAGGATGAATGTAGGCATCTCTGATCCTGTCGTGTAACAACTGACGTACAGTCCCCTGTGACTTAGGGCTGATCTTCTGGGGCTTGTAACTCACATTGAGGACAGGGCACTCACCTGAAAAGTAACAATTATACACATTTGTCATAAAGAATTCCACACTTTTCAAATTTTACTCTTCATTTTTTTTTAAATGCCTTTGCCATTTTTGAAGACAGAAAAAAGCATGAAGTCACTCAATAGTTCTCATACAGTAAAATTGTAATCCCTCATGACATAGAATATATCTCCCTACCTTTAACAAAGCTTTCTGTCTATTTAACCTGGAATTCTGTTTTTAATGCATGGCTGATGAAAACATAAAACACCATTTATAAAGTAAAATCATAAGTTCAAGTTTTAACAAGAGCTGTCCGTAAGACAGTGCGCTCGACTTTTTTATTGCTTGCCAATAAAAAAAGTTTTTGCAGTAAAAGGCAATACAAGAATCTCTGTATTTTTAAAGTGAACAATGGCCATGAGCATTAAGATATTTAGTGAAGAATTATTTTACTGAATTGTGTGATACCCTTGAACACTGCAGGTTCAGTGGATAGGAATGAATTTTTTTTAGATTTTTTAAGTTTTTTAGTGCTTGCCTATAATACAAAACATTGACAGTTAAGGGCCATAATTCAAATAAAATCTTTGACAGAATTACCTTCTCCTGGACATGTTTGGGAATCATGATTGTAAACAAGTATTCCAACTTTCAAATTAATATCTCAAACAGTTCAGTCAAAAAGTGGACTGGTACTAAAAACTTAACCAAGATTCTAAGTCGATAAAAGGCCTTAATTTTTAAAACAAATCCTTGACAGAGTTACCTTCTCTTGCGTACAGATGGGGGTAATGATGTGAAATAGCATTAAAAGTTTCAAAGCAATATCTCAAAGGGTTAAGGCAATAAGTGGATTTTACCCATATTCAATGTATTTTCTAAGTCAAAAAGGGGCATAATTCTGTCAAAAACCTTGACAGAGTTATGTCCTCTTGTCTGTTGATGAAGGTCGTGATGGTAAACAAGTATGGTCAGTTTCAAAGCAATACCTCCAATGGTTTGAAATAAAGTGAGGTGGTACAAAAACTTAACCAAGCTCAATACACTTTCTAAGTCAAAAAAGGGCCATAATTCTGTCAAAAACCTTGACAGAGTTATGTACTCTTGTCTGTAGATGGAGGTTATGATGGTGAACAAGTATGGTAAGTTTCAAAGCCATACTTGTAATACTTCTGAAATAAAGTGGGGTGGTACGAAAAACTTAACCAAGGTGTGACGCCGACGCCGGGGCGAGTAGGATAGCTCCCCTTTTCATAGAAAAGTCGAGCTAAAAATCCAATTTACTTCCAATTAATGTTACTTACTGCATATTCCTTATTCTTAGCTTATAATTATGGCAACACATTAATTTTTCTTATGAAATAAAATACAACACCTCATCTTTGTGAGTGTTTCTCATATTCACCATATAGTATTACAGAATGCACATGGTTGAAAGCAATCAATTAACAGTTATGAATTAAATGTTGAAATGCCAAACTTTAACCAACATAATCTTTGAGGCTTTTCTCATAGTAGTAGTACCTCTTAAAAGAATCTTGAACCCTTATCACACTAAAAATCTTTAACAAGCTTGTCCTGTTTTCAATCTTGATAAATCCATCCATCATTTTTAGGAAACATTCAAAAATATGCCGAATGGTTTTGATCTGTACAGACTGCATTGGCAGAATCTTCTGCCACTAGTAGACTTAGGGATAAACTGCACTATAAAAACTAAACTATACATTGAATACTCCAGATAAAATCAACTTACCACCACTGTCAGGCTGCAATTTTCCAGCCAACATTCTTATAAATGTGGTCTTTCCAGTTCCATTTTCTCCCAACATTACAACTATTTCAGAGTCTGTGAACTGTCCAGTTTCTACAGTCAAACTAAATGATCCTGAAGACAAGTCAAGATACGCTATTTCTAGTTATAGAATTCATGAAATAATGTTCATGTAAATAGCCACATTCATCCACTCATTCACCAATCCATAGGAAATAAAAATATTAACTACAATTGCGTGTGAATAGGACAGAAATGCCACCACATTTAATTGTTATCTTATAATCTACAATAACAGGGAAACAGTAGACAAATATGTAAATGCCTTCCCCTTAAGTAATGGCAGCATAATATTTGCCTGACTTTAAATATCTGTAATATAATGTCTATGAGCAAATGTCTATCTATCCTCTGCTATGTGTCATACATGTGAAATTGAATTGAAATTATTTCAAATGTAAGAATAAATTTATTCTCATTTGTTTGAATTTGACTTCAGGTTTGCTTCATTTTCTGATTTATTATACAGTATTTACCCCTACAGAAAGCCACAGGTTGTTTAGAAAATTGGAAGAAAATCACTGAATATATATATACCTAGATTTTTCACCATTTTTGGATACTCGTATCGACACATTCTTTTGATTTCCTCCTCCATCGCAGTCTCTGCTACTTTAAATGTTAGTGACACCTCTCTAAATCTCAGATTTTCAGTCGGAACAAAACCATCCAAAAATATGTTGATGCCTGGAAAGTGGTAATTCATGCATTATTATGGAATGTATTTGTTTGTTTGATTGGCTTTTACATAACATCAACACAGTTTAGGTCATATGGTGATGTTCCAGTTTTACTGGTGAAAGAAGACCATAGGTGCCCTTCCATGCATTATTTAAAGCATGAACGGGCACTTAAGTAACACCACCAACGTTCCTTAAGCTAGATGGATAGCTTCCTTACATGAAATAATCCAAAGTCCCTGTTGGGATTCAAACCTACAGCAGTGAGGGGCAAGTGCTTTGAAGTCAACGACCTTAACCACTCAGCCATGGATGCCCCAATGAAATGAATAAAACTATACAATGATGCGCTTGGGAAGCGAGTCAGTAAATAATTTCAGGAATTTGAAAAAATGAAAAGAACTTCCAATCACTGCCTTTTTTTCCAGTTTAAATATAGACTTGTTGCATCTTTACTTAAAAGTAAACGTGTGAACTCATCAAAGTCAATGACTTAATTCAATATCATTGACTCTAAATAAGTGAGATTTTTCAATTCCTTATATTTAAAAAGGCAAAACAACCATATTTTAAATATCTCCATTTAAATATAATGCAATCACTTCATTATGTAAATGCTATTTTCATTTTATAGGGTTAAAAGTAACGTAATGACTGCCATAGTTTAAACTTTGCAGTTTTTAATGGTTTTTTAGCTATACTATATTATCGAACATATACATTACCTTCCCTTACACCAAAGGGCATAGTAACAACACCATAGGCTCCTGGCACACCGTACAGACAACATATAAAGTCAGAGAGGTAATCGAGGACAGATAAATCGTGCTCTACAACGATGATGTATTTGTCTGCAGCCAGTAAAGATCTGATGGCTATAGCAGCATTGAGACGCTGTTTAACATCCAGGTAACTGGATGGTTCATCAAACATAAATCTGCAATAAACAAACCTGGTCTAAAATGTGAAGTTTAAAAGAATTTTTTTAAGTAAACATGCCATGTATTGAATTTAGAACTATCAACTTTAGCACATTATTGCAAGGTTTTCATTTTTTATCTAAGGCAACAGGAATGATTACTAGAACAACTGGATTAACTGGATATTGTACATTCCTGGACACTTCTTCATATACTTTTCAATACAATTCAGTCTAAGTGAAAGTTAAAACATTTTCATTGCTGTTTATTGAGACAGGAATAGGTGTACAAAAATAATTTTGTTATAACCTGAAGACAATCCTTATTGTTTACATAGTTGACAAGCCATTACTTTTCCTGTTTTTGTCAATATGTGGAAAATGTAGCATTGCATGGTTAACATGAGATAATCCCATTATATAATATTGTCAAGCACCTCTAATCGAAGTATTCTTTTTCTACTTTTTTCTTTCTGATTGGTGAGAAATACTCTTCAAGACAACATTTTTGAGCAGAAATATTTGTTACATCATAGATAGAATAACCAGAGTGAAAACTTACATATCAGCTTTCTGTATACACACCATTGCGCATGCAAACCTCTGTAACTCCCCGCCAGACAGCTCTTCCACATTCCTCCCTCGTACATGCATTAAATCTAAAAATAATATTACACTACTTCAGAAAAATATTAAACGTGTTTGATACATGTATAAATATTCCTATATTCCTGATCCAGGATCAATATAAACATTTTTAGCATTTCAGATATTTTTAATGGAAGACAGTCTTATAAAATTCTTCTAACAAAACAGATGATTAACCATAGCAAAACAGAAGTACATTAAAATTAAAATGAAAAACATGTATTGCTTCTATAAAATGGACCTTAATGCAGTGTCTATTCTAGGAGGGGGTTTCACTTATATTTTTGAGAATTCCAGGCAGGGAGAAAATTTTCCATAAAGAACGAAAAAGATCAACAAATTAATGTAATAAATTCTCACTTTTCGATAAAAATCACCCATTTTTCTAATGCTAGAATAAACACTGATTAATGAAAATATTTAAAGACAAAGTCAGCCTAAAAGCTGATGACAGGACTTGTATTACAGCTCCACTAGAAACTATTAAAACCTTTCTGGATGTTTTAAAAGACATTATAATGAAATTACCTAGCATTTTGCAGACGTCAACCTGTACACCAATGTCATCTTTCTTGTCAAGCAGTTGCTGTACTGAGCCCTAGAAATATATACAAACATTTTCATGCATTTCCAGCAGTATTTTATAGAACTAGTAGAAAAACTTATGAAAATTAAATTAAGTAACATGCATTTTAATATTAATGTTGCCCTTTCTTTATTAATAGATATTACCTAGGCCTGTCTTAAAAATTATCTTTGTTTACCCTCCCTTGACCCATGCCAGTTTGGGCATGAGAGTTAGGTAGATAAAATACCTTTATGTATCAAACAATTTTTTTTCTAAAATTAAAGCAAATTCAAAACTAACTGTGAATGCTTAGCATCTGTTTAAAGTTTAGAACCATATTTTTCAAAGTTTTATTCAACATTATTGTTAAGAAAAAAATTAATTTTTGCAAGACAGTAAAACTTTTGGGTAGCTGTGATTTTTGTAGATAGGTGGCAAGTGGGAAACATAAGAATTATTTTAGGCCCTATTGTGTACAATGATACTGCCCTTCGAAACATGTATTATTATTAGTTTACCTTGACAGCTTTTGGAATCTGGTCCACATATTGAGGCTTAATAATAGCCTTGAGGTCATCTTCCAAGATTTTGGTGAAGAAATTCTGTAACTCAGACCCACGGAAATACGTCAAAATCTCCGTCCAGTCTGGGGGATCCTGGAAAAGAAGCAGAAATGTTTCTGTCAACAAATGGAAACATAATTTTTTGTTCTTTTTTTCTTTTTTTTCCCAAAAATTTTATTGGCCTCTAAAAAAGACAAAAACATTTGGCTATATCGATTTCTAAAATTTGGAGAAATTTTAAACAATGATGAATCTTATGCAATACTGAACAAAGTTCATGTTCCTTCTTAAACAGAGCATCATATTTGTTATCCACGATTGGCCAGTTCGATCCTAGGGAGGGGAGGGCAAGGTGAAAATTTTTCAATGGTAACTAAACTTTGAAATCCAGTCTTATGGTCATTTGACTCTCACCACTAGTCTAATTAACAAATGATGTTGGACTGAAGCTGCCAGTTGGTCACTTAAGGAGAAATTTGTAATTACTGGTTAAATATCCAGGATAGCTGATTAGTTGGGACTTAGACATGACCAAAACTCTGGTAAAGTTGCCTCAAGAAACAGATAAACAAATCAACATTTAAAAAGTAAGCTGAATTACATACCGCAAAGCGTCCAAGATTTGGTTTCTGTTTTCCAGCCAATATTTTCAATGCTGTCGACTTCCCAATACCGTTTGTTCCAACCAATCCAAGAACTTCACCTGGACGGGGAGTTGGTAACCTAAAATGCAATGAAAGATGTTGTTAAAAATTTGTTCATATTGGCAGTCCAAGGTAAATAGTAACCCTTATTTACAGCAACCATCAGCTTTTGCTTCTTGTTGGAAAAACAATTGTGTTGTTTCAAACCAAATACTTCATAACTTTAGCTTGGAAAAGTGCATCATATCACTGATAAGCCTTCTTCATTCAACACAGCGTCCCAGAAAACGCGACAGTGACATTCATTTCTAAAAATATCAGATCTGGATACAGGCTAGTAGACAATTCTATGTAATATATAAATTCAGTAGGATACGGATTGAAATAAGTTCAGCACCAGGTTTCACCTTGCAGAAATTTGAGATTGAAAGTAAATTACACCTTAACCTTGGTAAGTTTAAGCTAAAACCTCCCATAGTTGAGAATGAACTGCATTTTTACAATGACTCTAATTTAAGTTTTTCCCCCTAATTATACCTTTGTAAGTTTAATTTTTTACAAATCAATACCTGTGTAGCTTAAAACTGTTTGCGCTGTATCTGTGTGTTGTATCCTTCGCCAAGTTACTGGGTAAATTGATTATGCTAATTGCCTCAAATGGACATTTCTACAATAACAATGAAACAAAATTAATGCAGCAATATACATAGACAAGTATAATTTAGTCTACTCCAAAGCAAAGTGACTCTTCGCTAAGTTAATTGGTCAGAAATAGCTGCATTAAGTCAATAAAACTTTTTTTTATCTGTATCTTAATCATCAATTTTGAAGGGCTAAATACTTGAAAACTTCAAGTTCCATTCTGCCTCAGAAATCCTTTTATTTTACTAAATTCAATACAATTTCAAAGACATGTTTAAATGTTTAAAATAATAATAAATTTGGAGCATGATTAACAACTGAAAAATGTAGCGCTGATAATACTAATGGTGTTCACTAGCCATGAAATCCTGAGGATCATTTTGACTAAGTTTTACCGACTACAAGGCCAAATCCCCATGATTTTAACAAAATTTGACCCTCCAGCTAAAATCCTCAGCTCAAATCAGGCCTTTTGAAATTTGAAGGTCAAACAGACATCCTGACAAATTCACTATAATTATAGTAGTAATTTGTAAGAGAAGCAAATGATCCTTTACAAACCTTTGCACATATACCACAGCCAATGCACAGATCTTCAGAAATGAAGGCAATTTTATCTGCTGGGGTCACTTCTATACACAGCTTGCCTGAAAAGTAAATTATATTCTACTGAACACTTGAAGCTCTTATACCTTTAAAGTGTTTGCAAAGTTATCTGCAAGTACAATCACAACTGAACACTGCACTTAAATTTAAAGACATGCTTCTATACCTTTATCAGTAATAATGACAATTTCAGTAACGTGAAAGCTAGCATGACACATTAAGACAAATATATATTGCTATAAGTTCACTTGCAGTCCTATGTAAATCATCAAAGAATATAATATAACTCTATATACATATCAAAATAATCACTGCTAGTTTCAAGTTTCAGCACAAAATGAGGCATACCCATTCTCACTACTGGGCAGGATTTCTTGCATTCTTGTCGGCATTTCTTCGGTTTACATTTATCATTGCTCACAATAGCAATTCTAGTCAATTTGTCCTTCTCTTCTTCAACTTGAGGCTTCCTTTTTGACATGTTGATATATTTTGCAGCCTAAAATAAAACCAGTAAATCAGATTATAATAGAAATTGCATGTACATTTTAATTTCAAAATCTATGTCATCATTCAAGGGGGAAAACAGGGCTCGACACTAACGATGGTCCGTTAGCCCGAGGCTACCAATTTTCCCCAAGGACTACCCGAGTTTCCAAGCTGGGTATCCCGTCGGGCTACTCAAAATTTCAGTGACCTGATGAATTAATAAAATAACATTTTTAGGCTATGATTCAAAACAAAAGATAAATTCATCTTACTAGTAAATAATTAGCCGTTGGGTCACTAGTGTCAGTCACAGCAGACGCATAATAGATTCTATTTAATCTCTATAAAGTTGCGAAAAGTGAAACCGGAAGTCCAACTTAATTGCCGATTTTTCCAGCCTACTTCAATAGAATTCTTTGTCTATTAAACATTTCAATGAAAATATTTGCTCATATTGGAACCTATTCAAGGGTTTAAACTTAAAAGAATATGATTTGTTGATTGATGTAAATCACACTGACAATGATAACCAAAATAAACGTGTTGTCTGAAATAGATCTGATTTCGGATGTAATTTATTCGGACATGAAATTATTGATTGGGAAAAAATCTCTTTATAAAAAAAGAGAAGAAAAATGTTTAAATCTCTTTAAAAAAGAGAAAAGAAATATTCTAAAGTATTTGTAATTGTCTTTGCCATAACTTCACAATGTTGTAAGCACTTCTTAATCATGTACAAGCAAATGTAAGCAATAATGCCAATACATGTATATGAAGAAAAAAATTGTTAACAAATACTAATACCCTAGGCATAAAAAACTAAGGCAATATAGTTTGATTAGAAATGGCTTTACATTTCTAATTTCGTGTTTAAATCAGGGACAACAGATATTAATCTAATGTCCCTATTTAAATCTTCTGACAGTTTAATAACTGAATTACTAGCACTAGTAAAAGTTTGTTATTCTGATATTTTGTTGTTTTATGTCTGACAAAATAAGTTTGTAGAATAAATCAATTAGAGTAAAGACAAACATATTTTGTTCTTGTCCAAGCTTTTTACTTCTTTTTACTTCTGTTTTGCATTTAAAAACACATCTAAAAGGTCATACATTATCTATACCTGAAAGTACATTTGTAAGCTCTATTGAAATATTTTTTTAATACAAAAGCCAGGTATTACATTAATTTAAAACTGACATACTTATTTAGCTGATATTGCCAATATATTCTCCCCTTCCCTATAAGCTGTCAATAATATAAGCTGAGCTGATTGCCTAACAATTTTATTTGCAACACACTTGTAATTCCTGGCTAGAACCCTGTACCTGTAGGTAATGTCTGGTCTTTCAAAACCTAATGACTTTTGTGTGTCACACTGCCATATTTTATTACAGAAATATGTAAAAGATTGTTGATGATGACTTTGAAGAGCTCAGAGACTAGCCGGAACCTACACCTCATGCAGAATAAAGCTTACAAACTTTTACTAGATCTTATATGATTTATCTATTGGTGATTTTTTCCAATAAATTTGAAGAGATCTCATGCTATTGTTTTCTTATCTTCAGATACATACACTCAAAATACATTTAAATAGAATAAGAAACATTTTTTTATGTTTTACAATGAGGACTACCTAGATTTGCCAAGGACTACCTGATCCTCAAAGTAGGTAGTCCTTCTGACTACCCCTAAAAAAAAGTTAGTGTCAAGCCCTGGAAAATGATTTTTTTTAGCTTGAGGACTTCTGCAGTGCTAGCCTAAAACATTTCTGTTGCTTGTGTGTCTTCAATATGGCTAATAATTCTGACTGATTTGTCTACCTTAACACTTCCTTGTATGACAAAATTTGTTTAAGTCAAGGTTCATTTCATTTTCTAGTCTATTATTTACAGCTTTTACTTTTGAATTATACATTGGGGTATAATCAAGGAACTATTAAAATGATGGAAGTGGCTAGCCATACCAGCCCGTACGGCTAGCCAAAAGTTCTAGCCGTACGCGAGTCACATACGGCTAGCCAGGACACACTGAATTGCATACACACATACAACAAATGTACTTTGAATAATTATGCGTCATGTAACTTTGACACTTTATCAAGATGACAACACTTGTCCATTGTATTCTTTTTTTTTTTACAAAATGACGGAGCATCGTTATTAGAGTAAACATTATATGTGGACAAATACGGGTTCTTTGTTAAAATACCTGCTTAAAGACACAAAAAAAACATGGAAGTGGCTAGCCGTACAGGCTCGTACGGCTAGCCAAAAGTTCTAGCCGTACGTGAGTCACGTACGACTAGCCTGGACACACTGTATTGGCTAGCCGTACAGCACTTTTCAAAATTATTATATATGGAAGTCGAAAATGCATTTGTTATTTTGTGTCTTTAAACAACGATTTTAATCAAATCTCCGCATTTGTCCTAGTGTGTTCACTTTAATAAAGATGCTCCGCAATTTTGCACAAAAAAATAAATACGAGTAAGCGTTGTATAATCTATCTTAATAAAATTTGAATGTCAAAGTTGCATGTTATAACGTCCTTAATTTTCATGCTTATGAATTGTATGAAAGATGAATTGTTAAATCTGTTAATTAAGCACATGGATCGAATAAATAATGATCGGAGGGAAGTAAATAAATAAATAAAAAGAATATTAAAAAAAAACGGTGAAAAGGAAAAATAATTTGATAATGCAAACTTTTCTTAACAAACTTCTATACCGGCGGTAATTGACGCAATTATCAGAGCCCAGCAACAATTTTTTTCGGTGTTTTTTTTTTTTTTCAGTTTAAAAATTAAACTTAATGAAACAAAAATAGATTATTATCAAATTTTGTAAACTATTTCAATTCATGTTGTTTAACTGCAACCAAACGCTATTTTTTCTCGACGTCTTGAGATGACAAAGTAAATTATTTACTGTAGCCAACACGTCGATCTAAAATGTAAACATTCTTGACTAAAACCCTCGCTTAAAGTCATAATTAACATATGCACTTTCGCCTTCAATATATATTTTTGAAAAGTGCCGTACGGCTAGCCAATACAGTGTGTCCTGGCTAGTCGTACGTGACTCACGTACGGCTAGAACTTTTGGCTAGCCGTACGGGCCCGTACGGCTAGCCACTTCCAAAATAACATACGCATTTTAGACATTTATATACTTTTGAAAAGTGGCGTACCGCTAGACAATACAGTGTGTCCTGGCTAGCCGTATGTGACTCACGTACTTTAGCCACTTCCTAAAATGATACACATTTTTCAATTTAGCCCTAGAAAGAAGTGAAATATGTTTTCTCACAACATATGGTTCTTACGCCCCCTCATACAAATAAGAAAGCCTCGTTTTCCGATGCTCTTTCTGTTAATGAATATAAAATGTTACAAAATGGTGATATATATGAATGAAATAAGCGATCAAATGGTTACCGCTTAAACTACTCTACCCCACCCGGTGAAGTTCTTAAGTCAGACATATGGTCTGAAGGAAATAAATTTGTCGAGTAATAATAACAAGGACGACTAAAATAACGACTCTTTCACAAATATATAATATCGTTTTACCTTTCTATATTACAAATTAGTTGTATTAATCTGTAGTTTTGGTTATATTTCCTGATGAATTTCGCCGGCACGTTGCTAAAAAATGGCTGCCTGTTGTGCCCGCATGGCGCAATGACCGGTGTCACTGTACTATTGTTACAATTGTGGTTTATGCTTAATCAAGGCATCAACCGACTAAATTCGCATACGTATGGATTCCATTTATGTAGGCATTTGGTGTGTCTTGCAAATTATCATAAAACAATCTAGAACTCTTGTTGATCAGCAAGATTTTAGAGCAAAATAACTTTCCAACACCATTTTGCGTCGGCTTACAGACACTTCACCCCCCAGACACTTCACCCTAGGCCCTTTTTTGCAGACACTTCACCCCTCAGACAGTTCACCCCTCATTTTAAGAAATTTGATTGAGACACTTCACCCCTCATTTTTTTTATTTTGTGTTTAACAATTATTTATGTAGATTATGTTAAATACATTCAATAGTGATTGAGTATGTTTATTGTTTTAACCCATTGTCTAATAAATTTTGAGTTGATTCAATTCTTGAAGTTTTGGTACTTAAGTTTGTTTTCAGTTTGATCTTTACCATAGAATAATCATTGAGTTACACTCATTTGGTGATGGTTTGTGCTTTAACCTTGTGCTTAATTTACATAACTGGTGCTATTTATTTGTTTAATAAATGACATTATGAATGATCTTTGTATGAAATGCAGGATAATTGTGTCTGATTATGATGATAAATAATTTATATTTACTATATTTTATAAAGCAACCGATTCATTCATTCATATTCATTTATATCATTTTATTTATTAAGAATAATTTAATTTTCATACAATTATACCATTTTAATTCAATTATCTTATCAATTGTGAGATAACCGTTGAATAAACAACTAATCAACATGTTGAATAAACAAGGTGACATGCAATAAACACTTAATGGATGAAAGTGCTGTGATATATCATTTGGCAATACAACCAATTAACCTAAATCAGCTTTAAACTTAGTAAAAATAAAGGTAATAAGCAAAATTTTTAATCAAATAATACTAAAAATAATAAATATAAACATATATAAGCATTTTGTTGTTGACCAACTTGTTTTATTTACTTTATAGAAAAAAATTGGATGAGGGGTGAAGTGTCTTACTGATTTTGGGGGGTGAAGTGTCTTAAGGGGTGAAGTGTCTTCAAAATTTGAGGGGTGAAGTGTCTGGGGGGTGAGGTGTCTTGCTACCTTTGCGTCACAGGTGGCAGTATCAGTGTTTGGACACCCCACCCCTATCTGCCCCTGGACCCCTACTACAACCCTGAAAAAATAATAATTCAACACTCTAAGGCTTACTATAAGGTACCAAATACAAAACCACCGATGAAATTATATAAAAAAAATTTTCCACTATCAAAATGATAGTTATAGAAAGGTGAAAAACCTACTATACGTTCATTTGCCAAACAATGTGGAACACGGGAAATCGTCGTTTCGGTGACTGAGGCGCATTCAGGCAGGATTTCGCTGCATCATTCATTAACATTAATAAAAAGAACTAGAATTCCACAGCTTATCTAATTCAAGTCTAACGAATATCACTATCATTCCGATTTTTTCTGTTTCACGGTATTTTTTGAATTGTCGAAGCCATTTTGCAGTCTGATACCTGGGTTGAAATACGCGATCTGATTGGACGAGCCAAATTTGACGTCCAATCAGATCGCGTATAACACACAGGTATCAGAATCCAAAATGGCAGCGACAAGTCAAAAATTACCGTGAAATGGAAAAAATCGATAGAATATTGATATTCGTTAAACTTGAATTAAGTAAGCTGTGGAATTCAAGTTCTTTTTATTGATGTAAATGAATGATGCAGCAAAATGCCTTCGGAATGCGCCTCAGTCGCCGAAACGACGATTTCCCGTGTTCCACATTGTTTGGCAAATGAACGTATAGTAGGCTTTACACCTTTCTATAACTATAATTTTGATAGTGGAATTTTTTTTTTTAAATTTCATCGGTGGTTTTGTATTTGGTACCTTATAGTAAGCCTTAGAGTGTTAATTTATTTTCAGGGTTGTAGTAGGGGTCCAGGGGCAGATAGGGGTTGGGTGTCCAAACACTGATACTACCACCTGTGTTTTGCGTCATAAATTTATTACATATACAGTAATTTATGATATAATTTTAGGTTCATTGAACGCCTCCCGCCTTGTTGATCTTGTTTACCATATTTTAGGCAGAGACATAGACCTCTATGTATATAGGAATGTGATATATAAAAATTAATAGAGCAAACATTATTATGAATGAAAAAAGAAAACAACACACATAGACATTCAAGATATTTGGAAATTGATTCCTGCATTGAAGTTATAAATATATTTATCACACACCCGTGCCGATTTTGCGACTCCGTAAATATGGTATTGCACGGCCGTGCATATATTTGACGTGACGTCATTAGCGTTATACAAACATAGTGTAAAGACGCGCTCAATGTTAGCGTTGTACTATAAGCGCGTCAATGAAAAATGACTCTTATTTCACTTTAAATGGTCTTTATTTTGGGTATGTGATAAATAGAATATTAAATTCGTGTAAGTTCATTACTGAATTTATTGCACTCGTTGAATAAAATAATATTATGCTCGCCAGAGGCTCGCATAATATAATTTTATTCAAATCATGGAGCTGAAAATAAGCATCTTTATCTATAAGAATAACACACTATTAGAAATCTTCGACAAATCGGGATCTCTTTTTTCGTTAATTTAATTAATTTAATATAAAAATTAATGCGCCTGTCATTTGAAAATCTTTACGCAGTGATCTCCTCTTAATTTTTCGGCAGAGGCTCGCATAATATAATTTTATTCAACTCGTGCAATAAATTCAGTATTGAACTTACACTCATTCAATATCCTCTATTTCTTTGGAGTAAAGTTATTTTAAGATTTGTGGAAAATTCAACAATGCGAAACCAGACAATTAATATAAACAATCAAAGCACAGAAGGCGCTGAATTTGTTTTGGTCTCAGAATGTCAGAAAGGTGAAGGTTGTGAGATTATAAACCAATTTGTTTGTACAGTGTCACCAAATTCTGTTCCCAGTGTTATAACTAAAGTGAATTGGCTATAAGACTAATTGCCACACTGATATTCAATTCAATGTGTATTTGGATTAAACAATTAAAAAAAATAAAAACATGAGTTGCCTGAACTGGGATTTGAACACCGGACCTCTCTCTTCTAAAGCGAGCGTGTAAACCTCTCTTTAAGATAACAGCCTGAAGAATACCATATTATTCTTAATTACAGTTTGTAACCCTTATTAATTTCGATATATTTTGTTCACGGTAAACCTGTTGTTTAACACTGAAGTAAATAATCATGGAGCTGAAAATAAGCATGTTTATCTATAAGAATAACACACTATTAGAAATCTTCGACAAATCGGGATCTCTTTTTTCGTTAATTTAATTAATTTAATATAAAAATTAATGCGCCTGTCATTTGAAAATCTTTACGCAGTGATCTCCTCTTAATTTTTCGGACATATGAAGGGAAGTAACCGCTTCGAAGAGTTTGGACTACTTTCGGTATTTGCAAAAAGAACATCTCGCTACCATTATTTGTTTGGCCTGACGACCCAAACAAATAAAAATCATACAAAATTCGTCATTTTAAGTACGACTTTAATTGCATTTCGAAGTTATACGTGCGAATAGTTTACGCGTTTGAAATTTTATTGGTCAGCATAAGTATGTGTCAATTTCCTTTAAAAGCAAGAAAGTATGTACATGTAAATAATTTCAGCCAATAATAATATCAGCTGATATTAAATCAACTCCGCGTAGAGATGCTCTTAGTATTTGACGAGGGTTTTTTGACTGGCTAATAAGAAGTGAATGTTAAGTACGGGACATCATTTTTATGACGTCCTTAATTCGGACAGAGGACTTCGTTCCTGGACTTCTATCACGTATGGGACAACCACCCATTGCATTGGAACCCCAACTAGCTAAGAATTCGTCCACTTACATAAAATTCCGCATCAACGATCACCGATTTGAAAGACCCCGTTTTATATGTAATATATTCAAATTTGATTAAAATGTGCCCCCATTACAGCATTTTTTAACTGCTACATGCTTTCGAAAATTTTAATCTTTCACCAACATCAATTAATCAAGTTTATAAAAGTAGATCTTATAAATAATAAATTAATAATGCATGTAATTATGATTATTGTTTTCTTGCATATCAGACAGGATTATCTACCTTTTACACCGTTGCTAGAAAAACCTGTCTTACCCACCCCCCCTCCGCCACCTCTCCCACCTTGTAAGACAAGTCGCGTGCTTTAAATGACGTCATTGCCGCGCGTCTGTTATGAATGAATTAATGTCATTTTACCGTTTTGAATGAAATTGTAAGTTCATACGCTAATATAAGAAAAAAGTGCGTAATGAGAATATCAGTTTTCGTAATTTCTGTTCTGAAAATAATTGATATGTAATATTCAAGAAAAAGAATTACACACCGGCTGTCGGTACTGACGGGAATATCTAGCTCTCGGGTAACTGTTTAGCGGAAATTCGACAGAGCCTCTTTACCACCGTAAACAGTTACCCTCGAGCTAGATATTCCGGTCTGTACCGGCAACCAGTGTAAAATTATTAACGTCTGGCCTTTTGATCTAAACATAAATTGTAGGAGCTGCTTTTCAAGTATAACAGTCTGGAAAAGGGAGATCACTGGGAAGCAATCAAAACAACAAAATTATATGAAAATTGCAGACTCGGTTTGATCTGGGACAATATCTTTTGTCCCAAGTTTGTCGCGTCTGTTCATAAGAAAGATGGTAAAGTGCAACATCTTTCACACCCCAAGCACCGGCTTAAGCGTTATTCAATCTTCAATACATGTGCTTATATAGCTTGGATCGATGATATTGAAGGGCCAGAAAATAAATCAAAGCTGAAGTGATAAGACATGTAAGACAAGCCGATAATTATAAGGCATATTCAAACATAATTTATATCCCTTCGATTCCCGCCAAAAGTTATTATATATTCCAGGGAGACTAATCCATGTATACTGATGCTTTTGAATTAACCTAGTTACTTCCCTTGGATTGTATAAA